CTGTAATCCCAGCACTCAGGAGGCTGAGGCAGAAGGATCCCTGAGAATTTGAAACCAGCCTGGGGCTACATAGTGAGTTCCAGGTCAGACTCAACTCCATAGTGAGACCCTGTCTCAAAAAAAAGCCCAAGTCCAAAGTCTCCTCTGAGACTAAAGGCAAACTCTTAGCTGTGAGCTCTGTAAAACTCAAAAAGCAAGTTCCACACTCCCAAGATGAAATGACACAGGGGAAATATTCCTATTCCAAAAGGGAGAAATGGCAGGATTAAGAAAAAATCATAATCAAGCAAACATTAAGTCTCACAGCTCCATGTCAGCACCCAAGATGCATGGTGGTGAGATATCATCTCCGGAGCCCATGGGCAGCCCCAATCCTTGCGGGTTGCAGCCCACATGGTTCCTCTCTTGGGATGGCTTTGTCCATTGCTTGTGGCTTTCCTTAGCAGATATTCCACATTGCTGACTTCTCTGACTCCCTGGGATCTCTGTTGGAGCTTTGGCTTCACTCCCGCAGCTTCACACACTGCTTTTTCGAGGGCTTCTGGCAGGATCTCCAAGCCTGTGACACATTGCCTGACCTCCCAGGTCTTCCTTTGAAATGTGAGTGGAAGCCCCTGTGATCTCTTGCATTCTGTAGGTCTGCAAACCTAGCATCACAGTAGACCTTGGATCGTGTCAAGGTCTGCTACCAATGCAAGCAGTGTCCTGACCCCCATGGACCACAGCTGAACCAGCCTCTGAGTGCCTGGGTGGCTGAGGATGGTGAAATAAATTCCAGGTAACCAACTCCCTTGGAGGCTTTTCTCAGGTAGGGAGTCCAGGAGTTATTTTCTCAAATGAATGGTTTACACTTTTGTACTGTTGTGCCTACAATGGGTGGGGTCTTGTTGATTTGGGGGGTGTTCTCAAGAGATCTTTCTTCTTGTCCCAGTGCAAAATAGTTCATTTTCTTTTTACAGCACAGATCTCTTTCAGCAACCACACTTGCCTTAGTCCCAACTTTATAAATGCTCCTCTTCTAGCCCAAATGAAAAATTTTCTAAGTCTTTCTACTCTGCTTTTTCTCCCGATTCTCACTATAAACCTGGCTCAAAGGAGTCAGCCTTATCCATACAACAGCCTGAATGTTGGGCTACTTTGAAATTTCTTCCTCCAGATTAGGAAGGGAGAAATTAGGCCACCACCTTTTTAATTTTATTTTTCTTTCCTGCAGTACTGGGGATCAAATCCAGGGCATTGTGCATGTTGAGCAAATGTTCTACCAGTGAGCTATGTCACATATCAGTGCACCAACTTTACACTCAGCCTCTTGTAAAGTCTCAGGATATGGACAAAATATGAACAAATTTACTGCCAAAATGTAACACAAATGGCCTCTAATCCAATTCCCAATGGAGTCCTATTCCCATCTGAAACCTTGGGAGTAAGTATATTCTTTCCTTTCTGAATTCTTATTAGCATTCTGATCTCAGCTCCACCTGGAACTTCCTGTCACACTTAGTCTATAACATTCCAGGGCTTCTTCAGCCCATGTCTCCAAACCTTACTAAACTCTTCCCACAAACCAGTTCCAAAGGCTTCTAAGCCACACGGTCAAGTGTAGTGGCAGAAATGACCCTACTTCTGGCACCAGCACAGCTGCCTCACAGGTAAGTAACATATGTCACTTCTTGGCAGGCACAGGAACCTCAGTATTTTGGGAATCTCAGGAAGAATTCACCTAAATTGCCAGGTGTGGTGGTGGACTCGTGTAATCCCAGAACTCAGGAGGCAGAGAGGCAGGAAGATTGATGAGAGTTTGAGGCCAGCCTGGGCTACACATACTGAGTTCAAGTCCAGCCTGAACGATGCAGCAAGACACTGTCTCAAAAAAACAAAATGAAACAAACAAAAAAGAATTCAACAAAATCTATAGGTAGTGCAGGAGCAATACAATGACAAGTTTTTGGCTTGGCTTAGTTTCAAAGTTCTTTCTGTCCTTTTCTTTCTTTCTTTGTTTCATGTGCTGGTTCTGCTAGGTAGGCAAGTGCTCTGTCATTCAGTTACAACTTCAACTCCCTTTTATTCATTCTTTTTGTTTTTTTTATGTTTGTTTGTTTTGGTGTTTTTTGTTTTGTTTTGTTTTGTTTTTATCTTTGAGACAGGGTCTCGCTCGCTATATAGTTCAAAATATATAGTTTGCTATATAGACTCATTATGTAATCAAGGCTGGCCTCAAACTTGATGTAATCCTCCTGTCTCAGCCTCCCGATTACAGGCATGTACCACCAGGCCCAGCTACCTTTTGTTTTTGAGACAGGGTTTTCTGATGGAATTCTTACTAAGGAATCTTATATTAGACTTTCAAAAGCCTTTTGAAGCTGGGGATGATAGCACATGCCTGTAATCCCAGCTACTTGGGAGAGTGAGGCAGGAGAGCCACAAATTTAAGGCCAGCCTGGGTGACCCAGTGAGTCTGTCAAAACCAAACCAAACAAACAAAAAACCTGGGAGTGTAGCTCAGTGTGAGGGCTCTAAATTCAGTACCTAGCACTGATCAAAAAAACAAAAAAAAAAGTTTCAATAGACTACTACAATGTACCCATTATCAGATTCTAGTCTTGTTCTTTGAGGTTTTATTTACCTGTAAACTGGATTGGATCCTGAATTCTTTCTCAGAATGACTAAGAATGGGAGCTATGTTTTCCTCGAAGTCTTGCAGGTTGAGGCTGAATGAATTAATGTGAATTTCAGAGAAATCACAATAGCCCATGTTGTTTTGTTTTGGAGATAGGGTCCTACTGTGTGATACCGATTGGCCTTGAACATTCTGTGGAACACAGGCAGGCAGGATACTCCTGCTGGGATTCTAGGTATGTACCACTGAACACAGCAAGACTCATTTTTTTCCTTTTGCAGTACCAGGGATCAAACTCAGGATCTTGTACTTGTGAGGCAGGCATGGCACCACTGAGCTAAATCCCTGGCCTATTTTTTCTTTTTTCTTTTTTCAGTGCTGGAGATCAAACCCAGGGCCTCCCACACGCAAGGCAAGTGCTCTACTTCTGAGCTATACCCCAGCCCTCAATTCTGGATACTTTGGAAGTAGAGCCACGAGGATTTGCTCATGTGGGGTGGGAAAGGGGGAAAGGAGGAAAGGGATCCAGAATAACTTCCAAGATTTGGGAGAAAGACGCAGCTGCCACCTGGAGAAATGAGAAACCCGAGGACAGGGCAAGACACTGGGGGACCGCAGGCCATTTCCCTGCTGTGTGACCCTCATTGTGAGGCCTGACGACTCGGGCCCAGTTTCCACACTTGGATGATGTGTGCTGCTATGAGCACTGCTTCCCTGCAGGGTGCTGACGAGGACTCGTGAGACAAAAACTCAGGGCAGGCACATGTCCCGTCTGCACCCTACAGCAGCCCTGGGTTGAGCCTCCTCTGGAAGCCAGCAGAAGGAGACTGTGGGTCAACCAAGCCTCTCCAGCTCCCTCCTGCCTCCCCTCGTGGAGAGGACGGAAGGTGTGGACAGTTGGGCCTTTCTGATCTCAGGAGTTTCTGTCTCCAAGGCCTTTGGTGGTAACTGGAGTGCCGCCAATGTTAATGGCAGTGCTGGTGGGTGATGATAAAGGATCGCCTTCCCAAGGCTCTGAAGTTTGAATGACACCTCCCACACGCCCTTCTCTCACCCGATCCCAGAGAGACAGGATTAAACCCATGTGCTGTGTAGGAAAGAAAATGGAAGCATCTTGAGACCACGATGTTAAGAGAAATCAGACACACAAGCTTAAATATTGTGTGGCTGCTCTTAGATGAGAAACCTAAAGAATAAGCAATTTAAAGAGTAAAGTAAAAGATGATAATAGGGAACAGGGAGTGGGATGTTTTGCAAATGGGAATGGGGCCAAGTTATGGAGTAAGGAAGAGTGATGGGAAGGGAAAAGTAAGTAACACAGAACTGAGACATGTGCACGGGTATCAGCTCCCCATGATGAATGTGATCGTTATGTCCCGCAGACAGGTACTAACAAAAATAAAAATACATTATCTGAAGTAGAAGAATGAAGTGTTAGGAAACAATAAAGCCCTGGCTTCGGGGGCTGGGGATTTAGCTCAGGGGTACCGCACCAGCCTTGCAAGCACAAGGTCCTGAGTTTGATCCCCAGTACTAGGGGGAAAAAAACAGGCTTAGGCCCCAGTCACTGCACCTGGCTGCCTCCTGGGTCCCCTTCCACCTGGGGGGAGTAGGTAAAGCAGGGGATCCCAGCTTGGCGATCCCTTCCTGTCCAGGAGTGGGAATGCCCCAGCTGGGTCAGCTGTTCCCAGCTCGGTGAAGGATAGTGCCCCCACTGCCCTGACCCAGGGAAGACAGCTGCAGGACTGGTGTCAGGGGTGTGCGTGTGTCTGGCTGCAGCCTGACTGTGCTTGAGATCTCGCTATGTGTCACACACTGTCCTGTCCAGTGAGGATGAGGGGCCCGGAGCCTTGAGTCAACATGCGTCAAGTCCCACATTTGAAGGTGCAGTCTGGGTTGCAGCGCTGAGGTCTGCACTGGCTGGGGACTCCACATTTGTTCCCTCCTCACATGCTGCCCGGAGAGGTGGCCAGCTGGCTGCCCCCCGCCTGGATATGCCAGGTGCAGGAACACAGCTGTCCCCATTGTTCCCCCACCCAGGCAGGCCGCAATGGGTGGGGCTGGCCTGTGTTGGATCTAGCAGCTAGGCTGTCTCCACTGCAGGCAAATCCAGCCGGAGACGGCTCTGAGCAGCCTTTCTGAAGGGTGAGAGCTGCTCCTGATCGGTGAGGGCATAGGAGGGCAGGGAGTACAGGTCTGGGTGGATCAAAGACCTCTGAAGAAAAGGTGAAATTTCCTACCGGATTGAGGGAGGAGGCTGAGGGGTGCCAGGGTGGAGGTGTGCTTGTGGAGGGGTGGTCAACAGAAAAGGTTAAACTGTGGGAAGGTAGGAGCAGGGGTTTGGGTCTAGAGCCAATGTTGCCTTCACAGGCACCTGGCCACCATGCCCGCCCCTCTGCTCATGCTGCTGCTGCGCACGCTGCGGTCCCGTCTGCTGCCCGCCGCCCGCCTGGCCCGCCAGCACCTCCTGCCTCTGCTGCGCCGCCTAGCCCAATGCCTGCGCTCACAGGACGTGCGGGACACCGTGCTGGGCTGCCTGCTGTTCATCCTCAGCCAGCGACACTCCCCAGATGCCGGGGAGGCCTCCGGAGCGGACCCTGAGGAGCGGAGGGAGAGGCGGGGCCCCCGAAAGTGAGGCTGCGCTCCTGACAGCTGTGGTGTCAAAGCCCTTCCTTCTAGAGTGGGCTGTTCCTGGCACCGCAGCAGCCTGGCATGACACTGGGTGTGAGTCCGGCCCTTCCGGAAGGGTGCCCTGTGTCCCCACCTCGGGCCTCCAGCAGACGGGGACAGCACGGCCACGGACAATGCCTCATGCAGGGACAGCTTAGAGGGACATCTGAATCCAGACTGTCATCTTCCAGATTTGAGACCGGCCTTAAAGTAATAAATAAGACCTTGGTTATCCCCGGAGGCCAACCTGCTCCCAAAGGCCAGCACACAGCAGGAACGGGAAGACAGCTCAATAAATATCTGCGAATTCTTGGGGTGCCTTTGAAAGTCTTGTCACCCACACTTTTGCCTGGCAAGACAGTCTGACCTAGTGGGAGGGGGTGTACCCAGTCACAAGGTGCCATTTATTGGGGGAGTTTGTGTTGTTTTTTTTTTTTCAAACAGGGTCTCATAATGTAGCCCAGGCTGACCTTGAATTTGGAACTTGCAATCCTCCTGCCTCAGCCTCCTAGAAGCTAGGGTTAGAGGCATGTGCCACCACACCCGGCCGTATGAGCCTTCTTTTAGCTACTTGTTTCCAGCTCGTCAGTCAAGATTTAGAAGCTGTCTGTCGTGCCTGACTCGATTGGCGTTCCGTTGGGGGTTGGGAACGTTGTTTCTCAGTGACCACTAATGGCTTGGTTCTGTCTAGGAGGGAAGCAGATGGCTCATGGGAGAGGGAAATGTCCTCGAGCAAGTTTGGGGACATCTCTCAGTACAGGGTGGGGAGGATATTTCTATTTGCTAAGGGACCCTGGGGACGAGTGGGGGGTGCTTCATCTGAAAATCGGTCTACCATCTATTTCCCTCCCCAAGGGGGCCGGGGCGGGGCCGTCCCGTAGGCGCAGACACAGCTGCATCCCGGCCTCGGGATCGTTGGTGGTTCCCAGCAGCCATCCTCGGGCTCCGGCCCGGGCTGGGGCTCTAGGCTGGGAGAAGACAGCGAGGGACACAGGCCTCTCTCGGGGACCCCCTACCCCATCCGACCCGCTTCCTCTGGACTCCTGCAAGGCAGGGAGAGTGGCCCCCCTCCGGGTTCTGGGCCCCTAAACCGGGGCCCTGGGGCGCCGCCACCTTCCCGGCCACGCTGGCCACGCCCCCTG